TTTAGATTCTACGACAGCACACCAAAAACACTTTCCTATCCATCTCTATAGTATACCTCTTATGAATTATCATCTAAGTTGACAAAAATTGATCTTGTTATTTTTCTAATATCAACAATTTGGTGCTAGAAGAAGGGCCTCTTGCATAAGCAGCCCTCATTTTTTCATAAAACCTAGACAAAATTGAACCATGAACCGAAATATCGTCATGAATCATAGTTCAGCTTCCAAAATCAATCTCACACTCATCTTAATGAAACCAACATCCTACCAGACTTTCTGAGTGGATAGGATAAAACTGAAGTTGGCAATCCTCAAATAGTTACCATGAGAGCGCCATTGAATGGATGACAAACATAGCCAGTAGGTTGGAGCAAAACCAGACCTCTATTTCCTCCCCACCTGATAGCGAGATGGAGTCCCAAACTAAGGAAAGAGTTGGCTTACCTCCGACCAGGATGACCCTTTACTTTTTAAGGGAATAAACATCTAAAAACTGAACTAATGAGGTCAAAAGTTCTCTTCCACTAATGGAGCCATTTGCCAGAAACGATTGAAGTGTTTTTGACAGATTAGGCTCTCAGTGTTCACTAACAATCTGAGGTGAATGTACTAGGCTTAACCTAAAATGCCTTTCAGGACAGGTAGAACTTGAAATGAGTACCTTAAAGAAGTGTATTGCTAATATAGAAGCCAAAAATAAAGAACTATTGGGAAAGACCTTACTAAACGCTAATCCTCCTTTATACAATATATTCTCATTGATTCTCTGCCTGAGAAATTGAAGATGCCACAAGTCATTGGGTACAAAAGAGAAAGAGATCCTCTTAATCACCTAGACATGAACATTTCATGGATAGAGCTGTAAGTAGCAAGTGATAACATCGTGTGCAGAACTTTTCTAATAACATTAGGAGATAAAGCTCAAAGGTGATTTAGGATACTGTACCGAATGTTTATAAAAAATTGGACCAAACTTGTAAAAACATTTCTAGCCCAGTTCATCGGCTTCAAAGCCAGAACAATGCCTAAAGAACGATTGATGAGTATCAAGCAAGGGAAAAGTGAGTCACTTAAAAGTCATGCCAACATATTTAACAAGTAATCCATGAAGGTAGAGAAAATCTCCAATAATGATGCCCTTATGGTAGTCCTTTTCGGGCTAAGGCCTAAAACAAGGTTCTGGTGGTCCGTACACAGAGACGAGCCTAGAACATACCATGAATTATAATCGAGCTGAGAAATGTATAAGTAAAAAGGAGGTAACCTCAGATCAGGATTATGCCAACGTAGAACTTCACACCTCAAGCCAGGCAAATGAGAAAAAATCAAATAAAGGGTCCACTCATAAGAGAAGAAAGGATAAAAAGGACAGAGACCGACCAAAATCCCATCTAGAGATGTTTTATGAGTACCACCCATTGAATGCTACTTTGGAAGAAGTCTTATTGCAGTCACAAGATAAAGAGGCATTCTGCAGGCCCTTACCTCAGAAGACAAGCTTAATCGGGAACAACCAAAGCAAGTATTGTCGGTATCATAGGTCGGCAGGTCATAAAACGGATGATTGTAGGGACTTGAGAGAGGAAGTGGAGTCCTTAATTTGGCGAGGTCATCTTTGAGAATTTGTGGCTAAGCCTTGGAGAAACAGACCAAGCTCATCATTATCAACAACTTTACCAACAAATGAGTAGGCCAACAACAAGCTTAGCAAGTGCTTTCAACTCGAAATCCCTATCCTAGAGCTGAGATTAAAATGCTGATAGGTGGCAAGTTGGGATGCATGTATTTTTAAAACTACGGGGTAGGACGACCTAAGTCCAACCTTGATACCATTCTATATCTAAAATGGTTTGAATTTTTGAAGAAGATTCTTAAGGAGTTCTAGAAAACCAAAATGGTTCTTTGGTCATAACCATGTCTGCTGTAAGAATACAAGTACGTTTAACTCTTATAGATAACAAGAGCTCGATCAATATGTTGTATTCTTGAACTTTGGAGCAAATAGGAATCGTAAAATAGTATCTCCATTGGTATTCCCAGAGATTACAAGGACTTTTAGTGAATCCTATTGAAGCCTGAGGTCAAATCACCTTGATCATGGAGATAGCTCAGGCTCATTGGTAAAGGAAAACCATAGTGGACTCCATAGTTGTTGACTTGCCTTCCAGCTATAACACTATACTAGGGAGATATATATTGTATGAATTGAATGCAGACACTTTGATCTACTATTATCGTATGAATTTTTGCATTCCTAATGGAATAGGAGTAGTACGTAAGAATCAAGCTAAAGCTAGGCCCGTAACATTAATTTATCTAGGCTCATATCCTTATGTTAAAGGAGGAATAGAGTCTTTGACCTAGAGAGGCAAGGTTTAAAAGACCTATGGTTTTGACCTTACTGAGATTGGTATTACTGAAAAATAGTTTGAAGGCCTAATAGATGACCACGTATCATTTGATGATAAAGAAGCAGACCTATATCCTTATCTTGGAGTCCTGGTGATCTCGGTAACCATAGCTAGAGTCACCATCTCCAAAGTCCTGGTGACGTCGGGAGTGCCCTCAACATACTCTATACTAACACGCTAAAATAGATAGAGAATTCTCTATATTTCTTACGAATGCACTTAAATATAGTTTAAGACTGAATGGAGCTCTTACAAAGGCAAAAAGGAAGATAAAGCTCACTATTAAGGCCAACAATACCCCACACCAAACTAACTTGAACACCGAGTTTGTGTTGGTTGAATCCACTTCTCCTTATAATGCTATTATGGGGTAACCACTATTGTTCAACTCAAAGCAGTGTGTTCAGTTAACATTGCTCACTAAAAATTTCCACACCTCATGGTGTATGTGAGATGACAATGTTCAATTAAAGTAAAAGGAAAAGAGTACGAAGAAGGAAATTGAATGCTTTGCTATGTCCGAAGGGTGATAAGTCATTTATTTTTTCCTTCTAATAAATATTGCTGATATGCATATTCTAGAAAGACTTAACATTGAGCTTATTTGTTCCTGAACTAATAACTATGAGCAATCTACATCCAACTTCTACCGTCTTTTTATTTCATAAACTCGATAAACAATTCCTATCTTATGTTATCCATATTTAAATATAAAATATCCCGCAACCAATCCAAATAAACATTTCACATCTGTACCCTAGGATAACAACTTGCAAAGTAAATTCATCTTAAGATATTTGAGACATATGTGTCGTCGACATTGGAAGCGTAGGTCATGCGGTAATCGATCAAACATTGTGGTAATCAATCCACCGACATCGTGATGGTAGGTCATTATGGTAGTCCATCGATCATCGTGGTAGTCAATTGACCAATGTGGTGTCGATAGGTCATCGCAATAATCGATCGACCATCTGGATCGTCAGTCAATCGACATGGTGTCAATCAACAATAGTAGTAATTAGACTATCTATGTCATGTCGGTAAGCCATTACGATCGTCGATCGACTATCGTAATAGACAATTGATAATCGCGATAATTAGTCGATCGATTTAGAATTGACAGTCATCGTGATAGTCGAGAGCATCGTGACAGTCAATCGATCGGCTTAGTGTCGGTAGGCGATCACAGTAGTCAGTCGACCATCGTGGTAGTTTGTCAACCAACATGGTGTCAGTAGGTCATTGAGAACCTCGATCAACCATCTTATATCCGGATTTTCTTAATTCGTGGAACCCTAATAATGTTAGCAATCTTTGAAGTTGGACAAGGTTTTATGCAGCGCCAAGGGAGTCCATTCCTAAGATAAACTTATTAGGAGTTGGCGGCACACTTGCCCAACTTGATTTTGCTTCACTTTCAAATCCCAAAAGTCTTGACCTCTATAGCAATAATTCCTATAGGTTGATTGCATATCAAATTGATGATCTTCAAAACCTAATTTCTCTTGATTTGTCATTTAACTCCTTCACTACTAAAAGTCCATAATCATTATTTACTAATCTAAGCTTATCCTCTGCACAAACCTTACCAACTTATCTTTGAGTAGAAATTTACTTACGGAATCCTTACCTTTATCCTTGACAAATCCGACCAAGTTATCTTTTTCGTTCCTCTTTGATAGTAATCTTTCGAGTTAGATCCTACCTTACGTTCTCGTAGATGACAATGTTCAATTAAAGTAAAAGGAAAAGAGTGAGAAGAAGGAAATTGAATGCTTTGCTATGTTCGAAGGGTGTATAAGTCATTTATTTTCTCCCTCTAATAAATATTGCAGATATGTATATTCTAGAAAGACTTAACATTCATCTTATTTGTTCCTGAACTAATAACTATGAGCGATCTACATCCAACTTCTACCGTCTTTTTATTTTGTAAACTCGATAAAGAATTCCTATTAACCTTTTAGGTTATTCATATTTAGAAATGAAATATCCTGCAACCAGTCCAAATAAACATTTCACATCTATACCCCATGATAACAACTCGCCAAGTAAATTTATCTTAAGATACTGAAGACATATGTGTCGTCGACATTGGAAGCATAGGTCATTGGGTAATCAATCCATCGACTTCATGTCGATTGGTCATTGTGGTAGCCCTATGATCATCATGGTAGTCAGTCGACCAACATGGTGTCGATAGGTCATCACAATAATCGATCGACTATCATAGTCATCGATCAATCACTATGGTCTCAGTCAAACATAGTTGTAACTAGTCCGACGATGTGGTGTCGATAGGTCGTTGTCGTATTCAATTGACAATTGCGATAGTTAGTCGATCAACTTGGAATCGATAAGTCATCGTGATAGTCAAGAGCATCATGGCAGTCAATCGATCAGCTTAGTGTCGGTAGGTCATCACAGTAGTCAGTCGACCATCGTGGTAATTTGTCAACCAACGTGGTGTCAGATGTCACTGAGAACCTTGATCAACCATCTTATATCCCGATTTTCTTGATTCATGGAACCCTAATAACATTAGCAATCTCCGAAGTTGGACAGAGGTTTTATGCAACATCAATGGAGTTCATTCCTAAGATAAACTTATTAGAACTTGGCAGCATAGTTGACCAACTTGATTTTGCTTCACTTTCAAATCTCACAAATTTCGATCTCTATAGCAATAATTCCTACGGGTTGATTGCATATCAAATTGGTGATCTTAAAAACCTAACTTCTCTTGATTTGTCATTTAACTCCTTTTTAGTTGAAAGTCCAAAATCATTATTTACTAATCCAGGCAAGCTTGAATATCTTGATCATACGTGTTACCATATTCATGGAACCTTACAATTTATTCTTGCCAAGATGGCAAAATTGAAAGGCGTTATCGTTTAACAACTTCTCTTGTTCAATTCCTGATATTTTGGCTTGATGTCAAATCAGGAAATCCTTGAACTTTCTTTATTTCAGGGAAATATCCTATCTTCTATAGGCAAACTCGAGAATCTTGAAATTCTTGGTCACACAATCAATAGCCTACTCAATTCCACAATTCCTTCTAAGCTTATCCTCTGCACAATCCTTGCCAACTTGTCTTTGATTAGAAATTTACTTACGGAATCCTTACCTTTATCCTTGACAAATCCGACCAAGTTATCTTTTTCATTCATCTTTGATAGTAATCTTTCGAGTTAGATCCTGCCTTACATTCTCATAGATGACAATGTTCAATTAAAGTAAAAGGAAAGAGTAAGAAGAAGCAAATTGAATGCTTTGCTATGTTCGAAGGGTGTATAAGTCATTTATTTTCTCCCTCTAATAAATATTGCAGATATGTATATTCTAGAAAGACTTAACATTCATCTTATTTGTTCCTGAACTAATAACTATGAGCGATCTACATCCAACTTCTACCGTCTTTTTATTTTGTAAACTCGATAAACAATTGCCATCAACCATTTAGGTTATTCATATTTAAAAATAAAATATCCTGAAACCAATCCAAATAAATATTTTACATCTATACCCCATGATAACAACTCGCCAATTAAATTCATCTTAAGATATTGAAGACATATGTGTCGTCGACATTAGAAGCATAGATCATTTCGGTAATCAATCCATCAACGTGGTGTCGGTAGGTCATTGTGGTAGTCCATCGATCGTCGTGGTACTCAGTCGATTGACGTGGTGTCGGTAGGTCATCACGATAATCAATCGACCATCACGGTCGTCGGTCAATCGACGTGGTCTCGATTAACCATAGTAGTAGTTAGTCGATCGATGTGGTGTCGGTAGGTCATTGTGGTTGTCAATGGACAATTGTGATAGTTAGTCGATGACGTGGAATCGATAAGTCGTCATGGTAGTCGAGAGCATCGTGGCGGTCAATCGACCGACTTAGTGTCGGTAGGTCATCGCAGTAGTCAGTCGACCATCGTGGTAGTTTGTCAACCAACGTGGTGTCAGTAGTCGTTGAGAACCTCAATCAATCATCTTATATCCCGATTTTCTTGATTCGCAGAACCCTAATATTGTTAGCAATCTCTGAAGTGGGACAAGGGTCTTATGCAACGCCGAGGGAGTCCATTCCTAAGGTAAACTTATTAGAACTTGGCGGTACACTTGACCAACCTAATTTTGTTTCACTTTCAAATCTCACAAGTCTGGACCTCTATAGCAATAATTCCTAGGGGTTGATTGCAAATTAAATTGGTGATCTTCAAAACCTAATTTCTCTTGATTGGTCATGTAACTACTTTACTGTTGAAAGTCCATAATCATTATTTACTAATCCAGGCAAGCTTGAATATCTTGATCTACGTGTAACTATATTCAGGTTACCTTACAATCGATTCTTGCCAAGATGGCAAAATTGAAAGGCATTATCGTTGAACAGCTTCTCTCGTTCAATTCCTGATATTTTGGGCATGATGCCAAATCTGGAAATCCTTGAACTGACTTTATTTCAAGGAAATATCCTATCATCTATAGGTAAACTCGAGAATCTTGAATTTCTTGATCTCACAATCAATAGCCCTCTCAATTCCACAATTCTTTCTAAGCTTATCCTCTACACAAACCTTACCAACTCGTCTTTGAGTAGAAATTTAGTTATGGAATCCGACCAAGTTATCCTTTTCGTTCATCTTTCGAGTTAGATTCTGCCTTATGTTCTCTTAGATGACAATGTTCAATTAAAGTAAAAGGAAAAGTTTATAAAGAAGGAAATTGAATGTTTTGCTATGTCCGAAGCGTGTATAAGAAATTTATTTTCTCCATCTAATAAATATTGCTGATATGCATATTTTAGAAAGACTTAACATTGAGCTTATTTGTTCCAGAACTAATAACCATGAGTGATCTAAATCCAACTTCTACCGTCTTTTTATTTTGTAAACTCGATAAACAATTCTTATCTACCATTTAGGTTATTCATATTTAAAAATAATAGATCCTACAACCAATCCAAATAAACATTTCTCATCTATACCCCATGATAATAACTCGCCTAGTAAATTCATCTTAAGCTATTGAAGACATGTATTGTTGACATTGGAAGCATAGGTCATTGCGGTAATCGATCAAAGATCGTGGTAATCAATACACCGACGTCGTAGCAGTAGGTCATTGTGGTAGTCCATCGATCATCGTGACAGTCAGTCGACCTATGTGGTTTTAGTAGGTCAACGTAATAATCAATCGACTATCACAGTCGTCGGTCAATCGACGTGGTCTCGATCAACCATAGTAGTAATTGGTCGACCGACGTGGTGTTGGTAGTTCATCGCGATAATCGATCGATCATCGCGGTCGTCAGTCAATCGACGTGGTCTCAATTAACCATAGTAGTAGTTAGTTGATCGATGTGGTGTCGGTAGGTCATTGTGGTAGTCAATGGACAATCGAAATAGTTAGTCGATCGACTTGGAATCGATAAGTCATCATGGTTGTCGAGAGCATCATGGAGGTCAATTGACCAACTTAGTGTCAGTAGGTTATCGTAGTAGTCAGTCAACCATCGTGGTATTTTGTCAACCAACGTGGTGTCAGTAGTCGTTGAGAAGCTCGATCAAGCATCTTATATCCCAATTTTCTTGATTTGCAGAACCTTAATATTGTTAGCAATCTCTGAAGTGGGACAGGGGTTTTATGCAACGCCGAGGGAGTCCATTCCTAAGGTAAACTTATTAGAACTTGGTGGTACACTTGACCAACTTAATTTGGTTTCACTTTCAAATCTCACAAGTCTGGACCTCTATAGCAATAATTCCAATGGGTTGATTGCATGTCAAATTGGTGATCTTAAAAACCTAATTTCTCTTGATTTGTCGTTTAACTCCTTTACTGTTAAAAGTCCATAATCATTATTTACTAATCCAGGCAAGCTTGAATATCTTGATCTTATGTGTAACTATATTCAGGGTACCTTACAATTGATTATTGCCAAGATGGAAAAATTGAAAGGCTTATCATTGAACAGCTTCTCTCGTTCAATTCCTGATATTTTGGGCTTGATGCCAAATCTGGAAATCCTTGAACTGACTTTATTTCAAGGAAATATCCTATCATCTATAGGTAAACTTGAGAATTTTGAATTTCTTGATCTCACAATCAATAGCCTACTCAATTCCACAATTCTTTCTAAGCTTATCCTCTGCACAAACCTTGCCCACTCGTCTTTGAGTAGAAATTTACTTATGGAATCCTTACCTTTATCCTTGACGAATCTGACCAAGTTATCCTTTTCGTTCATCTTTGACAGTAATCTTTCGAGTTAGATCCTACCTTATGTTATCTTAGATGACAATGTTCAATTAAAGTAAAAGGGAAAGTGTATAAAGAAGGAAATTGAATGTTTTTCTATGTCCGTAGTGTGTGTAAGTAATTTATTTTCTCCATCTAATAAATATTGCTGATATGCATATTTTATAAAGACTTAACATTGAGCTTATTTGTTCCAGAACTAATAACCATGAGTGATCTACATCCAACTTCAATTGTCTTTTTATTTTGTAAACTCGATAAACAATTCTTATCTACCATTTTGGTTATTCATATTTAAAAATAAAATATCCTACAACCAATCCAAATAAACATTTCACTTCTATACCCAATGATAACAACTCACCAAGTAAATTGATCTTAAGCTATTGAAGACGTATGTGTTGTCGAAATTGGAAATATAGGTCATTGCGGTAATCGATCAAAGATCGTGGTAATTAATACACCGACGTCGTGTCAGTAGGTCATTGTGGTAGTCCATTGATCATCATGGCAGTCAGTCAACCTACATGGTTTCGTAGGTCAACGCAATAATCAATCGACTATCACGGTCATTGGTCAATCGTTGTGGTCTCGATCAACCATAATAGTAATTGGTCGATCGATGTGGTGTCGGTAGGTCATTGTGGTAGTCAATGGACAATCGCGATAGTCAGTCAATCGAAATGGAATCGATAAGTCATCGTGATAGTCAAGAGCATCGTGGCAATCAGTCGATCGGCTTAGTGTTGGAACATCATCGCAGTAGTCAGTCAACCATCGTGGTAGTTCATCAACCATCGTGGTGTCAGTAGGTCATTGAGTACATCGATCAACCATCTTATATCCCTATTTTCTTGATTCGTGGAACCTTAATAATGTTAACAACCTATGAAGTTGGACAGGGGTTTTATGCAATGCCGAGGGAGTCATTCCTTATATAAACTATTAGAACTTGATGACACACTTGACCAACTTGATTTTACTTCACTTTGAAATCTCACAAGTCTCGACCTCAATAGAAATAATTCCTACAGGTTGATTGCATATCAAATTGGTGATCTTCAAAACATAATTTCTCTTGATTTGTCATTTAACTTCTTTACAGTTGAAATTCCATAATCATTATTTACTAATCCGGGCAAGCTTGAATATCTTGATCTTATTTGTAACTATATTCAGGGAACCTTACAATCGATTCTTGTCAAGATGGCAAAATTGAAAGGCGTTATCGTTGAACAACTTCTTTTGTTCAATTCCTGATATTTTGGGCTTGATACCAAATCTGGAAATCCTTGAACTGACTTTATTTTAGGGAAATAACCTATCATCTATAGGCAAACTCAAGAATCTTGAACTTCTTGATCTATTGCCTACTAAATTCTACAATTCTTTCAAAACTTATCATCTATACAAACCATACCAACTCGTCTTTGAGTAGAAATTTACTTACAAAATCTTTACCTTTATCCTTGACAAATCCGACCAAGTTATCCTTTTCGTTCGTCTTTGACAGTAATCTTTCGAGTTAGATCCTGCCTAATGTTCTCATAGATGACAATGTTCAATTAAAGTAAAGGGAAAGAGTATAAAGAAAGAAATCGAATGTTCTGTTATGTCCGAAGGGTGTATAAGTCATTTATTTTCTCCATCTAAAATATATTGCCGATATGCATATTTTAGAAAGACTTAACATTGAGCTTATTTGTTCCTGGACTAATAACCATGAGCGATCTACATCCAACTTCTATCGTCTTTTTATTTTGTAAACTCGATAAACAATTCTTATCAACCAATTAGGTTATTCATATTTACAAATAAAATATCCTGCAACTAATCCAAATAAACATTTCACATCTATACCCCATGATAATAACTCGTCAAGTAAATTCATCTTAAGATATTGAAGACATCTGTGTCGTAGACATTGGAATCATAGGTCATTGCAGTAATCGATCAAACATCATGGTAATCAATCCACCGACGTGGTGTCATAGGTCATTGTGGTAGTCCATCGAACATCGTGGTAGTCAGTCGACCGACATGATGTCGGTAGGTCATCACAATAATCAATCGACCATCGCGGTTGTCGATCAATCGACGTGGTCTCGATCAGCCATATTACTACTTAGTCAATCGATGTGGTGTCGGTAGGTCCTTGTGGTAGTCAATTGACAATCGTGATAGTTAGTCGATTGAAGTGGAATCGATAAGTCATCGTGACAGTTGAGACATCGTGGCAGTCAGTCGATTGGCTTAGTGTCGGTAGGTCATCGCAGTAGTCAGTCGACCATCGTGGCAGTTTGTCAACCAATGTGGTGTCGGTAGATCATTGAGAACCTCAATAAACCATCTTATATCCAAATTTTCTTGATTCCTGGAACCTTAATAATGTTAGCAATCTGTGAAGTTGGACAAGGGTTTTATGCGACGTCGAGGGAGTCCATTCCTAAGATAAACTTATTAGAACATGGCGGCATACTTGACCGACTTGATTTTACTTCAAGTTGAAATCTCACAAGTCTCGACCTCCATAGCAATAATTCCTACGGGTTGATTGCATATCAAATTGGTGATCTTCAAAACCTAATTCTCTTGATTTGTCATTTAACTCCTTTACTGTTGAAAGCCCATAATCATTATTTACTAATCCAGGCAAGCTTGAATTTCTTAATCTTATGTGTAACCATATTGAGGGAACCTTACAATCGATTCTTTCCAAGATGGCAAAATTGAAAGGCGTTATCATTGTACAACTTCTCTTGTTCAATTCCTGATATTTTGGGCTTGATGCCAAATCAGGAAACCCTTGAACTTTCTTTATTTTAGGGAAATATCCTATCATCCATAGGCAAATTCGAGAATCTTGAACTTCTTGATCGCACAATCAACAGCCTACTCAATTCCATAATTCATTCTAAGCTTATCCTCTGCACAAACCTTCCCAACTTGTCCTTGAGTAAAAATTTACTTACGGAATCCTTACCTTTATCCTTGACAAATCCGACCAAGTTATCTTTTTCCTTCATCTTTGGTAGTAATCTTTCGAGTTAGATCTTGCCTTATGTTCACGTAGATGACAATGTTCAATTAAAGTAAAATGGAAAGAGTATGAAAAAGGAAATTGATTGCTTTGCTATGTCTAAAGGGTGTATAAGTCATTTATTTTCTCCTTCTAATAAATATTGCTTATATGCATATTCTAGAAAGACTTAACATTCAGCTTATTTGTTCCTGAACTAATAAGTATGAGCAATCTACATCCAACTTCTATCGTCTTTTTGTTTTTTAAACACGATAAACAATTTCTATCAACCATTTAGTTTATTCATATTTAAATATAAAATATCCGATAACCAATACAAATAAACATTTCACATCTATACCCCATGATAACAACTCGCCAAGTAAATTCATCTTAAGATATTGAAGACATAGGTGTCGTAGACATTGGAAGCATAGGTCATTAAGGTAATCGATCAAACATCGTGGTAATCAATCCACCATGTTGTGTCAGTAGGTCATTGTGGTAGTCCATCGAATATCGTGATAGTCAATCAACCGACTTGGTGTCAGTAGGTCATTGCAATAATCAATCGACCATAGCGATCTTTGGTCAATCGATGTGGTCTTGGTCAATCATATTAGTCATTAGTCGATCGATGTGGTGTCGATAGGTCCTTGTGGTAGTCAATTGACAATCACGATAGTTAGTCGATCGAGGTGGAATCAATAAGTCATCATGACAGTTGAGAGCATCGTAGCAGTTGGTCGATCGGCTTAGTATCGGTTGGTCATCGCAGTAGTCAGTCGACCATCGTGATAATTTTTCAACCATCGTGGTGTCGATAGGACATTGAGAACCTCGATAAACCATCTTATATCCCAATTTTCTTGATTCTTGGAAAATTAATAATGTTAGCAATCACTGAAGTTGGACAGGGGTTTTACACAACGTCGAGGGAGTTCATTCCTAAGATAAACTTATTAGAACCTGGGCGACATACTTGACCAACTTGATTTTGCTTCACCTTGAAATCTCACAAGTCTCGACCTCTATGGCATAATTCCAACGGGTTGATTGCATATCAAATTGGTGATCTTGAAAACCTAATTTCTCTTGATTTGTTGTTTTACTCCTTTACTGTTGAAAGTCCATAATCATTATTTACTAATCCAGGGCAACTTGAATATATTGATCTTACGTGTAACTATATTGAGGGAACCTTACAATCGATTCTTGCCAAGATGGCAAAATTGAAAGGCGTCATCGTTGAACAACTTCTCTTGTTCGATGACTAATATTTTGGGCTTGATGCCAAATCAGGAAACCCTTGAACTTTCTTTATTTCAAGGAAGTATCCTATCATCTATAGGCAAACTAGAGAATCTTGAACTTCTTGATCGCACAATCAATAGCCTACTCAATTCCATAAATCCTTCTAAGCTTATCCTCTGCACAAACCTTACCAACTTGTCCTTGAGTTGAGATTTAGGTACGGAATCCTTACCTTTATCCTTGACAAATCCGACCAAGTTATCTTTTTCGTTCATCTTTGATAGTAATCTTCGAGTTAGATCCTGCCTTATGTTTATGTAGATGACATTGCTCAATTCAAGTAAAATGGAAGGAGTATGAAGAAGGAAATTGAATGCTTTGCTATGTCCGAAGGGTGTATAAGTCATTTATTTTCTCTTTCTAATAAATATTGCTTGTATGCTTATTCTAGAGAAACTTAACATTGAGCTTATTTGTTCCTGAACTAATAAGTATGAGCGATCTTCATCCAACTTCTACCGTCATTTTGTTTTGTAAACTCGAAAAACAATTCCTATCAACCATTTAGGTTATTCATATTTAAAAAAAATACTTGTAACCAATCCAAATAAACATTTCACATCTATACCCCATGATAACAACTCGCCAAGTAAATTCATCCTAAGATATTGAAGATATATGCGTCGTAGACATTGGAAGCATAGGTCATTATGGTAATCGATCAAACATCGTGGTAATTAATCCACCAACGTGGTATCGGTAGGTCATTGTGGCAGTCCGTCAAATATTGTGGTAGTCAATCGACTGACATGGTTTCGGTAGGCCATCGCAACAATCAATCGACCATCGTGATCATCAGTCGATCGATGTGGTCTCGATCAACCATATTAGTAATTAGTTGATCGATGTGGTGTCGGTAGGTCCTTGTGGTAGTCAATTGACAATCGTGGTAGTTAGTCGATCGACGTGGAATCAATAAGTCATCGTGATAGTTGAGAGCATCGTGGCAGTCAGTTGATCGACTTACTGTCGATAGGTCATCAAAGTAGTCAGTCGACCATCGTAGTAGTTTGTCAACCAATGTGGTGTTGGTAGGTCATTGAGAACCTCGATAAACCATCTTATATCCCGATTTTCTTGATTCATGTAACCTTAATAATGTTAGCAATCTCTAAAGTTGGACGGGGGTTTAATGAAACGCCGAGGGAGTCCATTCCTAAGATAAACTTATTAGAACTTGGCGGCACACTTGACCAACTTGATTTTGCTTCACCTTGAAATCTTACAAGTCTCGACCTCCATAGCAATCATTCATACGGGTTGATTGCATATCAAATTGGTGATCTTCAAACCCAAATTTCTCTTGATTTGTCATTTAACTCCTTTATTGTTGAAAGTTCATAATCATTATTTACTAATCCATGCAAGCTTGAATATGTTGATCTTACGTGTAACCATATTGAGGGAACCTTACAATCGATTCTTCCCAAGATGGCAAAATTGAAAGGCATGTTATCGTTGAACAACTTTTCTTGTTCAATTCCTGATATTTTTGGCTTGATGCTAAATCAGGAAATCCTTGAACTTTCTTTATTTTTGGGAAATATCCTATCATCTAAAGGCAAACTCGAGAATCTTGAACTTCTTGATCGCACAATCAATAGACTACTCAATTCCATAATTCTTTCTATGCTTATCCTTTGCACAAACCTTACCAACTTGTGCTTGAGTAGAAATTTACTTACGAAATCCTTACCTTTATCCTTGACAAATCCGAACAAGTTATCTTTTTCATTAATCTTTGATAGTAATCTTTCGAGTTAGATCATGCCTTATGTTTACGTAGATGACAATGTCAATTAAAGTAAAAGGAAAAGAGTACGAAGATCGAAATTTAATGCTTTGCTATGTCCGAAGGGTGTATAAGTCATTTATTTTTTCCTTCTAATAAATATTGCT